GGGGGGGGGAGACGGACGGACGGACGCTGCTCGAACCGTACTTAAATGCCCTCCCTTTCTCGCCGGAGCTGCAGCCCCCAGCCGTCTTTCCACCCGACGTGTACCTTCAGTTTTCAGACGTGCAAGCCCGCCTTGTGCTGCCCAGGAGTCGCCCCGGCCTCGTGAGAGCCTAGCAGTCAGTGGTGCTATTGTGCCCATTTTCCGGAGGGGGAAACTGAGACCCTGGATTCGGCTTCCGCTTTGACTTTAATTATTCAAGAAATGGGCCGTGAACGCCAGGAGTGGTTCTAGCGTCCCGTACCCAATGGCCCACTGTATATTCCCGGCTGGGTGTCCGCGGCTGTCTCGCACTCGACGCGTCCAACACTGAGCCCCATCCGCCAAACCCCCTCCTACTGCAGGCTCAGCCAGCTGATAGTAAATCTTTGGGGTCATTCTTCCCCTGCCCTGCCTCCCTCACGCCCCACGACTGATCTGGTAACGACTGCCATGAACTCCGGCTTGCAGTCTCTTCTCGCCTCCTCTGCGGCTGGCACTCTGGTCCAGCCACAGTTCCTCGCTGGCTTCCCTCATCCGGGGCCCCACAGAGCAGCCAGAGGGACCCTGTTTGAAAGGGAGCCCCCAGATAATAGCCCGTGTTGGCGAGGAGGTGGGAAGGTAAACGGCACAGCCAGGGTAGGAAACAGCCTGGCAGTTTTTTAACAGGCTAAAGAGTCACCGTAGGACCCAGCAATTCCAGTCCCTAGGTATCTACGTAAAAGAAATGAACACATACCTCCAGACAAACACTTGTACCTGAATGTTTCCCGGCGGCTTTGGTCATAATAGCCCCAGAGTGGAAACAACCCAAATGTCCATCCGCCGAGGCGCGGGAAAGCTCAATGTGGTGTGTCCGTCCAGACAATGGACGATCATTCGGCGGTAAAAAAGAAATCAAGCCGTGGTACGTGCTCCCATGTGGATGAACTTTGAAAACATCATGCGGAGTGAGAGAGGTCGGCCACAAAAGGTCACTTATAGCATGATTCCCTTTGTATGGAATGTCCAGAATGGGCCAAAATACAGAGACAGAGTAGGTTAGTGGTTGTCAGGGGCTGGAGATACTGGATGCAAATAATTCTTTTTTTTTCAACTTTTTTTTTTTATTTATTTATTTTTGGGACAGAGAGAGACAGAGCATGAACGGGGGAGGGGCAGAGAGAGAGGGAGACACAGAATCGGAAACAGGCTCCAGGCTCTGAGCCATCAGCCCAGAGCCCGACGCGGGGCTTGAACTCACGGACCGCGAGATCGTGACCTGGCTGAAGTCGGACGCTTAACCGACTGCGCCACCCAGGCGCCCCGCAAATAATTCTTATTGGGATGGAAATATTCTTCAATTGATTGTGGGGAGAGTCGTACAACTCTGTGAACGCACTAGAAGCCACTGAACTCGATTTGGGTGAATGTTATGGTCTGTGAATTGTATCTCAACGTTTTAAAAAATGTTTGTTTATTTTGAGAGAGAAAGAGAGAGAAGAATCCCAAGCAGGCTCCATGCCATCAGCCCAGAGCCTCACGCGGCGCTGGAACTCAAGAACTGAGAGATCATGACCTGAGCTGAAACCAAGAGTTGGGCCACCCAGGTGCCCCTTGACTTTTTTATTTGTTGAGTAGGATTCAGGCCCAGCGTGGAGCCCAGCTGGGGGCTTGAACTCACAACCCTGAGATCAAGACCTGAGTTGAGATCAAGAGTCAGAAGCTTAACCGACTGAGATACCCAGGCGCCCAGATATGTGACTTATATCTCAATAGAGCTGTTAACCCTTTCACCTCCCCCCCCCCCAAAAAAAACC